TAACAAAACCGACCCCCTAGATGCGGGGGTGGGGGGGTTGGGGGGGAGAGAAAGGTAACAAAATATTATACAATACAGTATATAACTAAATTAATACTGTCTATAAACTGACACAATTGGAAATTCAAAATTTACAAACTAAAAATGTATATAATTATATATAATAAATTGTGTATAACATCAGTATAACAAAATTCATTTGCTAAAAAGTCACATAATACAAAAGCAAAAATGAGGTACTGATTGGCTTTTGTGCCTCTACAACACAGGTTTTTTTTTTTTTAATTGTTTTTTTTAATGCCTACAGCACCTGATATTCCTAGGTGGTCTCCCACCCAAGTACCAACCAGGCCCGACCCTGTTTAGCTTCTGGGATCAGATGAGATCGGGCACATTCAGGGTAGCATGGCTGTAGATTACAACATAGATTTTAATTTAACTTTAGAATTTGTTAAAATGCACCAATTGACAAACTTCATGAACTTGATCAATACTGGGGCTGAAATCATAGTTACAGTTGGGGGTCTCACTAAATTTAAACAATGAACTCCCCAAGTTTAAAAAGTAACTAAATATAAAATAGGAAAAAAAAGCTGTATCTCATTTACCTGCAGCCTTGACTAAATCTCCCAGTCATACCCACCACCCCAAAATGTCACATTATCGAGCAGATGCTCTGATACGTCATTAAAATAAAATTTTGGCATTTACAAGTTAATTAGAAAAATGGCACCCCATAGACCACAGTATAAATAATTCATACGGCTCAATGTAATCTGAAAAAGGGCCTTCGGGAAGTGAAACTTATATAAAACCTAATAAAGAATGGATTACCCTCACTGCATCTTCACTTGACACCCCACTTGCGCCTAGGAAAAATAAAAGGCATCTCGTGGTGTGTCACCACAACTGTCATATTTGGGCCCACCCTTCAGTGTCCCTGCTACAACCAAAATGTGTCCCCCCAAATTCGTATGATAAGGCCTAACTTGCAACGTGACTGTATTCAGAGATAGGGGCCTTAAGAAGGTAATTAAGGTTAATTGAGGTCACAGATGGGACCCCAAGCTGGTAGAACTGATGTCCTTGTAAGAAGTGGGAGAGAGGGCTCCTCCCAGCCACAGAGGAAGGGCCCTGTGAGGACACAGAGAGAAGGCGTCTCAGGGACTGCTGGCCTCCAGAGCTGCGCGAAAAGACACCCAGAGGTGGCAGCCCCAGGTGATTACCGCAAACCACATTCCCGATACCCAGCATCAGTAAGATTGCTGATGTGACCTAATCAACAACCGGTAACTATTTTGCACTTACATACCTAGCTAACACCTTCCTTTCAGCGCTTGGTTCGACATCCTCTCCGCCAGCCTGCCTCCCTGAGTACAGGGAGGCATACCCTGTCTCCAGGCTGCCCCTGGGGAGCTCCCAGCTCTGTTGTCACACACAAGATCTTGACTGCACCCACATTTCTCCAGGAGGTATGACATGACACCGATGCCAACCTTGTCCACTCGACACATTCACTATGAGATGCAAGTCCAATATCTTTTAGTTCTTTTGGGTTCTAGTTTTAGATGATAATAATATTAAGTATTACTTTAGGTCTGAGAGCAACACATTCTTCATTTATAAATTATACTTAATCTCACTGATGCTGATACAAATCGGCCCATCTTAAACAGAAATCCCCAATAAAGGCCCTAAAACCTGTGGAAAATACTGTCAAAGTCACTCCCAACCAGTGCTCTCAGAGACTCCCTTCACTGCAGAAGCCTCCTCCTGCCCACTGGAGTCTCTGAGTCACCTATGATTGCCCTAAGTTGTCCAAGGGCTTCTGATGAAGAAACTGTCCCCCTCAGCCTGGTGCTACACCACTGGAACCACGAAAACTGACTATACCTTGGGCTCTCACAGACCCTAAGCCTGCGACCCTCTACAGCCAGCTGCCAATCATGCTCTGGATCACAGAAACAGCACATCACAAGCTCGGCACAGCTGCCGAAGCCTCAGGACAGGACGGAACCCAACATGGCCCTCTGGTATATTCTACCTGCCCGATGCCACGGTACTAGAGGTCACCATCTCCCAGACTCCTTGGTAGCTGGGGAGCACCTGGGAATTAACTCAGCAGACAGCAACGGGCGTTCGTCAAGTGCAAGGCATGGCCCACTATCACATGTGACAGAGCTCAGTGGATGCTGCCACTTTCTGTCCCTTAGAATGTCCCACAAGAAAAATGGGACCTAAGAAACAACACTTAGCCAGACTTCAAGGGATCATGTTAGCACCAGACGCCCGGATTGACAAATGGTCCCATCTTCCTATTCATTATAAATGGGTGGGCCATCACCTAAAAATCGTTGCGTTCAGTGTAAAGAACTCTGGCAATCTCATCTCAGTTACGTCCAAAATAAGTCAAAAACATGTCTTCAACCAAACATGGCACAAGCTGAGGACCATATCAACTGGAGTAGGATCAGGGGGCAAGAAAGAAGAAATAAAGGCGTGGCTGCCTCAGGGTGCTTCTTAGTGCCAGGCGACACAGGGTCCTTGCACTCTCTCAAACAGGTTTCTCAGCCTGACATGGTCATTCAGGTCTGGAAAACTTTGTCAGGAGGGTGGAGAGGAATCTGTCCTGTGCATTATAAGGATGTTTAGTGGCATTCCAGATCTTCACTCCTGGATGTCAGTGGCTTCCACACTCACTTGTAACAACTAAAAATACCTGCAGACATTGCCAAGTTTCTCCTAGGGAGCAACAGCATCTCCGTATGAGAAGCATTGGTCTAGAAGGTTATATATAAGTAGAATGATGAGGAAGTGAGTGGGGTGGGGGAGACCCTCCATGAGGTTTGGTGGTCAAGACACAGCAGGGTGATTATCTTTACACAGAGCCACACGTAAGTGCCAGAGCTTCTTGACCTTGGTCCTCTTGACACCATGGGCTGCACAATCCTTTGTTGAGGAGCTTGTCTTGTCCTGCTTGTTAGATGAAGCAACATCTCTGGACAATACCAACTAGATGCCAGTACCACCCCAACACCATGTGTGACAATTAAAAGTGGCCACACGCATGGCCAAATGTATCCTGGGGGACAAACTGCCGGCTGCTGAAAAGCACCGCTCTAACCTCTCTCTCTGTACTAACAGAGGGGCTTGGCCCTGGACTTAGGAGACAAGAAGGCATGTGAGACAAAGAAGCCATGTGGTTCAGAAGAACACCTGGGGGCCACCAGGATGAAGACCTCCCAGGGGCCTGCCTCATACTCACTGGGAGAGCATCCCATCACACACAGCCTGATGACTGGCTTGGAGGGGATGCGTGAGCCTACCAGGCTCACTCAGTCAGATCCCCCTCTGGAATCTGAAATAGGGAGCTCAGACAGAGGCCAGTCTGTGTTGGACACTGGGATGACAGGTCCAGGGAATAATGGGCTCAGATGGCCATTCTTGCCTCAGGGATGCCCCAGAGAGCTCAGGAGCAAAGAAAGAGAAATGACATAAACATTCAAAGAAGGAGAGATAGGGAGTCTGGGGGCCACAGACAGCAGGGACTGAGGTGCCTGGTCCTATCGCAAACTCGCTGAAGAGAAAAAGCCATTCTGAACAGAGCGACCTAAGCAGATCCAGAGAGCGAAGCCAGGAGAAGAGACCCGGGAGCCGGGCATAATCGTGTGGTTTCCAGTTCCTGGATCAGTCAGTCCTTCAAGAGCACCTTCCCCACCCCCCCCAACCCCAGACATCTTGCTTTTGGAGTCTGCAGAACACTCCCATTTCCTTCCACACTTTCTAAAAGCCAAAGGGAGGCTGTTTCTTGCCCAAGAGAGACGAGGAGACCAGGTAGGAAGAGGTGAACCTAGAAAATGACTGAAGCTGTGGGGAGGAGGGAGAGAGGGCTCCTGAGGCCTTCTTGACCAGCCAGATCTGGAGCCAGAGGGTGGTTCTGACAAGCAGGGCAGGTCCCCGCCATGGAGGGCTAGGGAGGACTTACCCAGAGACAACAAGATCCTACAATTTTCCAGCATCACTTCCTGGTACAGGGTCCTCTGGGACAGGTCCAGTTGTCCCCACTCTTCCTGGGTGAAAGTCACAGCCACATCATTGAAGGTCACAGATACCTGGAATGTCACATAGAGGTAGCAGTATTAGCCTTGAGGCTGCTGGATGGGATCAGAGCTCACTTTGCATCATGGTAAAGGTGCGGTCATCAAGGACCTAATCGTGCAACACCTCCTGAGGGATGAGCTCTGTGCTGGGCTCAAGGGGAAAGTGGATGATCCTTTGGACATAATACAATAGTGTAGAAAAGAAGCCATCTATGCAGAAGCCATTGGAAAGTCACACAAGAGTGGAAATGATGTGTGGACTGTGAAAATGCTGACAGTGAGAGGACCCTAGGTCAGAGAAATGACAAAACATGATAATGATACCAATAATATTAGCGCATGAGCCTCACTGATCCTGCAACTACCTGCCCCATGCTGAGAGCTTCACATCATATCTTAAAGTGACTAAAAGTCTCCACTTCTTAAGTCAATCTCCTATGGTTTGCATCCAAACTCTTGAAACCCAACACTTGTCAGCTGTGTTACCTTAGAGACATTACTTTGTTTCTCTGAGCCTCAGTTTCTGGATCAATACAATAATAGTTCCCACTTCACCAGTAACAGCTGTGAGATATGGACAGAAATTATTCAATGCTCAGTGTGCTTCAGGATTTTTATTAATTCTCCCATAGCCTTTGAAGTAAATATCTAATCACCTCCATGCCACAGTCAGTGGCCCGAGAATAAAAGTTCCACCAATTTACCCAGAGTCTCAAGGCAGAGACAAGATTTTAACATGGATCACTACAGTACAAGACTGTAATAGAGTAACTCGACACTCCTCTACTATCAAAGTGAATACATAGTAAAGAGGCTGTAAAACATTTACACGAATTTTTCCTGTTAAATCAGTTTCTGTCACCCTTAAAAACATATGTGAACATGAAGACAGGAGCAGAGTCCCACCACTGCCTTCGCAGGAGAGGCACCTGAAAGGGTGGCACCTACCTAGGTAATGGCAGGGCCTGGATCAGCTCCCCACACTCCCTGGGTCTCTCAGACTCCCAGGAAGACTCCACAATGAATCTTTAGTCTTTTCCCCTCCTGAATCCTGACAGCACTTACCTCTGAGGCAGGATACTTCAGGACCAAGGACAACAAATGGCTAAAGATAACACAAGCTCTGGCCATAGGAAAAGCCTTTGACTGGCCAGTGTCTGTCCTGACTGAGAATAGGCGAAACACCCTGCAAAGGCCTACACCCTCCCGAGACTTGTCTGTCTCAGCAGCTGGGGGAACCATGGTAACCTCACAGGCCTTGTTGTGCCCCCTTAAACAACCAACACACCTTTGTCCATGCACTTCTCTCTGCCCAGAAATCCCTGCCTCTCCTCTAACCCTAATGCCCAAGGTCACCTGGGGGAAGTAGGGGAAGTAGGGGAAGTAGGGCAGGTGGGCCAGGGCGGACCCCAGCAAGATGTGGTGGGGTTGGGATTTATTCTAAGAATGATGGAAGCCCCTGGAAAAGTCATCATTCTTTCCACAATTTAATGAGAATCTGTCTGAAGCCCAACACCGTTTAGGACTGGGGACAGCTAAGTGGCGACCCAGTTCCAACTGTCAAAACAAATGATACTTCCTAAGGCAAAGCCAAAGGATGTTAGCTCCCAGCCCCGTCAGGGACCGTTCCCTCCTGCGAAGAAATACAGCAATTCCGACATCACCGCCCACTCACCAGCGTCTGATGGGTCGGCGACGCCGCCATTGCGGGACTCTATGGGTCGAGCGAAGCTGGAAGAAGAAGAACCTCGGCTGACTGTCGCACTCCGAGCCGAGGTGTCCTCCGTGGAAAGGGCGCACAACACCCCGGGCGCCGCCCTTGGCGACTGCGGGGATGAAGGGCGGGCTAACAGACTCCCGGGAGGCCGCGGCCCGTCGAGCGACCACGGGACACGCCCGTTATGAGGAGTCACGGCCCAGAGGTAACTCCTATCAGCCTCCACTGCTCAGAATGAAGGGCTGATGAAAGACCTGAGAAAGGCTGGCTAGCTATTCCGTAATTAGAACCATCCACGACTGTACAGTAGAAGCAAATGGCGTCCACTTTGCAAAACCCGGAAGTCCCGCCTACATGCGTGGAACGCCGGAAACGTCCCTTTCCCGGGCTATCATTGGCCAGCGTCCGCCGAAGCACAATGTACAGCCTTCTGGGTAATGCAGTCCCCTCTTTCTCCCCATCCAATGACGCAAGGAGCTCCTTAACCAGGAAGTCATCCTATGCCTAAAATAACCTCGAGCTTTGAGGCGTGGGAAAATTGAGGCTCGGGAGGCAGGGAGGGTGTTTGCCCAGTTGAGAGAAAATGTAAAGGCTTGGGGTCGGGCCTTCGGCTCGCCTGGCGGCTTCTCATTACCTCCATTCTCGTTAGGTTCTTCAGGGATCCTCTTCTTGGACAAAAAATAACCTTAAAAACCTTCCTGCGCCGGAAGTCTCGCCTCCATTCTTTGCACACTCACTTACCGCACTGTCCTGGGCCTTCCTTTGCCCAGAACCTAGTTTGTCTGATGTATGAACTTGAGTCACGCAGTGGGCTCAGATAACTTGAAGAATGGATTTGCCACTCTTTGAGGTGGGGAGGCCGCAAGTTTTCCTGGAGGAAAACTTAGGACTCCCGTTTCCATCATTGTCAAGTTGAGATGTCAAACCACTGTGTCATGTAGGCGTTTCAACCTATGAGTGAACTTTGGGAGAGAGTTGGAGCCTGGATATAAAAATTTGGGAGTTATCTTACACTGTAATTTCAAGTCATGATACTGGGTGCGATCATTAAGGGAATTGAATGTAGACTCGAGAATAGAATAGACAAAGCATGAACCCTGGACCAACTTGACTTCATTAAGTGGTTGATGACAAGAAGCCAACAAACTAATGTTAGGGGTTCTAATGTTGACCCAGAGGCATATTAAACAGTCTTAGAAGTCACCATTGGTGAGGTCTCCCCCCCCCAAGCCCCCGGAATTGTGGAGCCCAGAGGATAAAATGCATCTCTCGTGATTTAAGGATGCATAGGGATTAAGAAATGGAATCAGGGAGTGCAGAAAATGCCCTTAAAAGACTTAATTTTTTTAAGGTGAAAGAGAAGTATGGTGACAGGATGTTAATTAGGTCAAAGGATGAAGAACTCTGCAAACTACTAGTAAAATATACATATTTCATTTAATGTAAGTATATATGTATGTGCATACATATACACATATAGGAATGTATATATACCCATATATCGCATATATGTAGTGTAGTATATATGCGAGATATGTATTTCAGGGAATTGGCTTATGCAGTTGTGGGCCTGGCAAGTCCAAATCCATAGAGTAGAGGGCAGGTTGGATACTCTCCAGCCAGAGCTTTTTTGTTTGTTTTTTGTTTTGTTTTTTATGTTGTAGTCTTGAGGCAGAATTTTTTCCTCAGAGTGCTCTTACTTTTCCTCTTAAGGCCTTTCAACTAATTGGCCAAAGCCTACCTACATTATCAAACTAAAATCTTTTGCTTAAAGTCAACTGATTGTAGGTGTTAAGTATATCTACAAAATACCTTCAAAGCAACACCTGGGCTAGTTTTGATCCAGTAACTGGGTATTATGGCCTAATCAAGTTTACACATAAAACTAGCCAACATGTTCTGTCCCTTGTCAACTTGGTACCCATACACATTTCCTAAACCATACTTCTCCAAATAAATATGGTAAAAAAAAAATCTACTTTTGTCTAACTGGATCAAACCTGGTACTGATCCATTGTTATGATAGATCGTATTATGTATGATGGGCTACATATGATAAATGTAGTGGATCCATTTGGACCTATTGATGTAATGTTAAATTATCTGATACTGGAATTCCGTAGATATACTTATAGCTAATAAAGAAATTTGATTAGGACTTCATACCTTTGGGAAAAGAAAAACAAATATTAGCCATGCATATTAAGTAGGAAAATCAATCAGAACAACAGATTTTTCACAGATTAGGGGTTATTTTTCCATCTCATAGCCTGCATAACTCTTTTCTAAGCATTTGCTTCTGCAAGGCTGGATGACTCTAACTACACCTACTTTCCTTGCAGCAGCAGGAAAACAAGAAGTATTTTCTGCTTCTTATCTTGCAGACTCCTTTTTCAGAAGTTTACAGGCCTATAGCTTTTAAGAACAATGTGGAAACCCTTTGTGTACTAGTATGGAAATAGCTCTAGGATATAGTGTTAAGTAAAAATACTTAAAGTCCAAGACTGAATATGTTATGATACCTTTTGGCTAATAAAGGGGGAAATTCTAATGTGCATTTATCTTTCCTTAAAGAAAAGTCACTCAGTTTGGCTACTAGTGAATCATGGAATAAGCAGGAATAAAGCTTCCCATCGCTTAGCTTGTCACAACATTTTGCTTTTGTGCCATATGCATTCATTTCCTATACACATTTTTTTAAATTAAAAAAATCAATTACATCACTTAAAAAAATACACATGACTTTTCAAGAGTGTGAGCTAGGCTTCCATTATCTTACTGAAATGTCTATAGTGTGTCTTCTTTGTTTTAAAATTTGGGGATACAGAAGTAAACAAAACAATCAACCACCCTTGCCCTCATGAGCAACATTTAGAGGGGGAAACAGAAAATAAATAACAGTTATAATAAACAAGTAAAGTATATATCAGAAGTTAATCAGTGCTATGACAAAGAAAATGAAGAGCAAGAGGAGAATTAAGGTGGATGTGGGCACCAGAGTTGAGGGGCATTTGTTTGCAATTTTTATGAGGCTGATCATGGGAGAGCTTATGGAGAAGATAACATACAACCAAAGTCAGTAAGGTGGTGAGGGGGCTAGGTGAAGATGGGCGGGGAGAAGGAATGTCTTGGCATAGGCTTTAAAGCAAGTGTGTTTCCAGTCAGTGCATGAAACAGGAAGCTAATGTGGAGTCAAGCAAAGCAGTAAGAGGCTATGAGGACTTTGGCTTTGACTCTGAGAAGATGGGACCGTTGCAATCAGGGTTTTGTATAGAGGAAAACATAATCCAAATTCGTGTGTTACTCTTCTATTCCTGAGTAACAGTTATCATAAATGTAATGGCTTAAAACAACATACACATATTAGTTCACACTTTCAGTAGGTCAGGACTCTAGTCATAGCTTAACTGAGTTGTTTGTTTCAAGGTCATACAAAACTATGCTCAAGTTGTCAGAACTGAAGTTCCAACAGACTCAATTGAGGAATAATACACTTTAAAACTCATTTAGGAAATTGCTAGAATTTATTTTCTTGTGGTTGTAGGACCGAAGGCTTCAGTTTCTTGCTGTCTGTTGGTGAAGATCACCCTTAGCTCCTAGAAACCATCTTCACTGTCTTATGTGGGCCAACATTACTGCTTGCTTCACTAAGTCAGTGAGGAAGACAGAATCCAGCAAGATGGGTCTTACCAACTATGTAACATAATCATGTACACTTAATCATGTATATACCATCACCTTTAGCATATTCCATATCTCTAGAAGCAGGGTACAAGTCTGGTCCACAATCAAGGAGAGAGGTCATACAAGAGTTAGAATGCCAACAGGCAAGGATATGAGGCCCACACTGGTCATCCTAGAGACTATCTGCCACACATTTTAAGATGTTCTCTCAGGCTATTGCAAGAACAGACTCTAGTGGGGTTAGGAAGCTATTTCAGAAATTCAGAAGAAAGATTTTGTGGCTCATATCAGAATGAGTTGAAGAAAATGTTTCTCTTTCTTCTCTCTCTATATGTATATATATACATGTATAAAAATATATATAGAAAATATTATATGTATAAATATTTAAATATTTTATATATACTTTTTATTTGTGAATAATTTCAAAATAATTACAGAAAAGTTTTAAGAATAGCACAAAACATTGCATACTCTTTACATATATTTATCAATTAACATTTTGTCAAATTTGCTTTATCATTCTCATTCTCCTCTGATTGGTGGATTAATGATGTTTGAGTCTCCTGGAATTACTTTCAGTTCAGAGCCAGTGTCCAGTAGTTCCTAAAAGTTCTGATTTTATCCTTTTTCACTGTGTACAGTTATCCTGGTAAAAGATCCCTTTGGAGAAGGCTGGGAGATAGAGTAACAGTATAAATTTTCTGCTGCATACCGGATCCCTCCTTAAGAAGACCTGGCCTCCCTTTCATTGAGGAAGTTCTGAATCTGCAACCTAGATCAAGTCTGGGAATTGATTGACGGGCTGTGACTCTGTTTTTATGCTTTGCGTTAGATTTTGCTCACTGAACTTAGAACTTTTCTGTTATGCAAATCAAGTAAGAATTTAGTAGGCTTCCTATCTATTTCACTTCAAGGAATACTACAATTAACTAGCCAATGCCATAGGTCTGCACACCTTAGACTATTCTGATTGCTGCTTTGACTCTGTTGTCCATCAAGGTAACCACACCCACCATGCCTTCTGAGCTGGAGTGTGTGACTATTTGCCTCTGCATTTAGGTTTTCCAAGTCCCACTGTAAGCTTTGGCCTACAGAGAAGAGGGATCACAAACTCTTCAAGGATACTGAGACTCCCCCTCACAAATTAATGCCTCAAAGTATTAATTAAAGGTACGTCTTATAGAATCACCGAGTGTGGGTGAGTAGGTCTTAAATGACGAATCCACCCTAATACTCAGCTCTCCTTAAGTCTTTGAATCCCTTCTTCTATATTAAACCATGGAGTTTGAGCATTTCCAATTCACTCACGGTGGGCCATCTCTTGGTCTGTGGTTCAGCCAGCCAACCAACTAACCAAGCAACCAACCAACCAGACAGAGCCCTTTCTTACTCCCTGAGCTGCAAACATTAGATGCAGAATCTCTGAGTTGTGAACCCATATTAATAGATTCAGTCTGATCCAGCTTTATATTTCTTCCACCAGTATTCCACTTCCTAGTATCTGTTCCCACATGTTTCCCAGAAAACTCAAGTAGTTCTTTTGGAGTTTAATGCACCTCCTCATGGGTCACATGCTGTACCTCACCTTTAGGGGCCTGCTGGAACTTGAGTCTAAGCCAAAAAGCAGTGAGGGGTAGTCTGTGGGGAGGTGGTTCTGAGGAGAATC